CAGCCCGGCTACAGCGCGCGTGCGCAGGCGCAGGCGCAGGCGCTGAGGCCGGTAGTGCCCTGAGTCCGCCGGCCGCCCCTCCCATACCGTAAAGCCGACCTGCCTCGCCCGTGGACGCCATTCGGCGGACGGCACTCCGACCCTGGCTCCCCGACGCAGCCCGCCTCGCCCGCGGGAACCTGCTGGCCGTCCCCGGGGACGTCAACCTCGGGACAGACCGGGCACCCTTTCCACCGGGTTCCCCGGGCCTCTTGTCCTACCTTAGGGAGCAGCACACTCTAGCCCCTGCCGGGGGCTACGCCGCGGTGCTGCCACGAAGTCAAGCGCTTAGTGCCCGGGGCTACCCAGCGTCTGGGCTGCCCGTGCCTGCTGCCCCACTAACGTGTAGCTCCCGTTTGGTGACCCGTGTGGTGTGAGTGGTTCAGGACCTGGAGAGCAGGGGCCAGGGGTGCTGGCGGGAGGTCTGCTCAGGCGGCTGCGGTTCCCAAACCCAGCCCAGGCAGAGCCCCAGGAAGTGCTACTGTTTGTTTTCCAGCCACCATGGATCCCTGAGGGTCGGTTCTGCTTGCCTTTCCAGCCTGGCACAAAGCAGGAGCTTGGTAAATGCTGTGCGGCTGCTGCGAATCCCACTGACAATGCCATTCCAGTTTCACCTGTGTCCCCACAAGCAGGGAATTGTGCGTGGGGCCTTAAAGGCCTCTCAAGCTAGTGACAGACGGTCCCTCCAGCCACTCCGGTCCTGCTGAAAACTTGCTGTGATCGGAGACCTCTAGGAGCTTGGGAGGAAAGGGCCACCCCTCACTCCCTTGTGGTCCTGCTCCGGCCTCCACCCCATTGCGTAGGACTCCCACCTGCCCACACTGGCACTGACCTCTTCTCTCTGTGTCCGCACCGCCAGTACTCTGTCCACACCAGCTGGGCTAGTTCCTGGGGCTGCTGTAACAAATAATCACAAACTGAGGCCTGAAAATGGCAGACAATTACCCTCTCACGGTTCTAGAAGCCACAGACCTGGAATGAAGGTGTCAGGAGGACGATGCTCCCTGCAGAGGTTCTCCAGGAGGGTCCTGCCTGGCCTCTTCCAGCTGTTGCTGGTCCCAGCTGCTCCCAGGCTGGTGCTGAATCCCTCCAGGCTCTGTTCCCGTCTTCTCAAGGCCGCCTGCCCTGGCTGCGTGTCCCTCTTCTGTCCCTTGGACAGGCAGCTGTTGTGGAATCTAGGTCACCCTTGGGGTAATCTAGGCGGAGTTCAACCCGAGACCCTCAGCGTTAGCCCCTCTGTAAAGACCATTTTGTCCAACGTGGTCATGGTCGCAGGTTCCGAAGATTATGAGATGGACACATGGGGGGGAGGGCGGTGAGTAGGTCCAACGGGAAGCACACAGACTCCAGGTAACTTCCTAGGGAGCGGGGCAGTGTGAGCCCTGCCCTGTGTACCCACCCAGGGCCAGCGCCCCTCCACATCAGAAGGAAGGCTGAGCCTGGCCGTCCCACCTCCTTGGGAAGTCAATGTGCCGCCTGCCAGCCTGAACTCTCACCGCTCTGCGCTCGCATGGGGGCTCTGAGCAGCTTCCTGGAGACCCACGTCTCCTGGGTCAGGCTCTTCGCACTTGCTGTGCCCAGCGAAGGCATTCCTGCCCCTCGACTTTCTCTGTCACTCCCCTGCCCAGGCAGGGCGCGGTCCTGGGTTAAGGCCAGTGGGTGCGCAGCTGTGCATGGCAAGGGAAGCGTGCACAGGGGTTCAGCCCCCACCCCCCGCCCGGGCTGCGCCACTGACCTGTGGTGCATCTTGACACTGTCAGTGCCAAGGCGGGAGTAGCGCCCGGCCTGAGGCTGACACCGCCTGCAGCAATGGTGTGTCTTGGGGACTCTGGCTCCCACCTCCAGCTTCCCGCGTGCACATGCAGCCCTGGCCATCATGCACCCTCCACGTGCACAGGCGGGCACCCGGCACACATTCACGTACCCAAACGGCCTCCTTTTCTCTCCCTCTGGCCACGGGCCCGCTGCCTCCCCACCTGCTGTGTTCACAGCTCCACAGCGCGGCATGTGCTTCCGCTTCTCCCCCGGGGTTTGTGGTGTGGGGAGTCTCAGCTCAGCAATAGGGCTTGTGAATGTGAGGCGAGGGAATGACTCAATGAGCATGTTAAGCTGTAAGGCCTGGGGCACGGGCACCCTCCTGGCAGGCATCCCCGAGCCGAGCCGCCTCTTCCACCCGCAGCGGCGCCCAGGCGGCCTCCCTTCCAGCCACTGCCCACCGCAGCCCTCCCAGGGCCTCCTCTGACAGCTGTGGGGTCTTCTGCTGGGTGCTTCCTTATCTACCCTCACTGTGGGTCTCTGCACCCTTGAAATCACAGCCTCCTCCTTGTAGCTCATGAATGAGCAGGCAAGGGAGTGGGGCTTCGGGGCACAAGAATGGAAAACGGAGGCTCAGAGGACGGTGCAGAGAGGGGCCGAGGCCCTGGGGTGCAGAGGAAAGACCGGGGACTCCCAAGGCTGGGGTGCACGGCCCTCGCTGGGGCGCTCAGCCAAAGCTGCCCCGTGACCTGGCACCTTGCTCCCCAGGGACCCCGCCTTCCCCTCTCCCCGCCATCAGCACCGGCCTCCAGCCTCAGGCCGGAAAGCCCAGCGGCGCCCTGGCCTTGCACCCCCCACCAGCTTCGGCCGCCCTTTCTTCCCCACTCGGTTTCTGAGCCCACTGTGACCACAGCTGCAGGAGCCACCCCACCCTGCCATCTTAGCTTGTCCCTGCCGCTAGACCAATCCCAGGCATTTAGTTCTGCAGGGGCTGTGAGTACCAGATCAGTGCCACCATGGCCCAGGATGCAAAGCGCCACTTCTTGCTCTGCCTTGGCCTAATGCAAGCGGCACCCGAGTCTGCGGGCGCCCTTCCATGGGGCAAGAACCTCATTCAGGAGACTGCCCTGGCAACCTAGTCACCACTGCAACCAGCACCCCGGCCACTCCGCTTCCCCCACATACCCCACAGCCTCGGCCCGTGCCCACTGGGGCGCCCAGGCCGCACCTCTCCCACAGCACCGTGGCGCCACACCAGGCAAACTGCCCTCATGCCCTTTCAAGCCCCTTCCACCACCGGGACCAAATCTGGGGTGGGGCCATCCGGCTCACGCACTGAGCGCAGCGCACTTCCTTCTGCCCAGCCGCGGCCCCTCTGGGCCCTGGACTGAGCGTCCAGTGAGCAGACTCGGGTCTGCTGCAGAAACCCAGAAGAGAGGGTCTCCCGGCAGGCAGCCTGGCCTCCTGCCCCAAGCCTGCCCAGACAGAGCGACCTTTGTAACCGCAGAAGCTGCAAGAAGCTAGAGGAAGCCTGTCCCCGACCTCCAGAGTAAGCAGAGCTGCAAACTGTTACTGCTCTGGGCAAGCCCAGCTGGAACACAAAGGAGGCCGGAGGCCACCGTGTCGGTCCCAAGGGCACATCCCGACAGTGGCCCAGGGAGTGAGGACATAGAACCTCCTCCACATGGACCGATCGCAATTTCAAACTAAAATCAAAAGATGGACATTGAATGGGATCACATCTGGGATCTCTGAAGATTCTACTTCCTGTTCATTCAGGCTATTGCCAACCCCAAGTTCCCTGAGGTGGAAGAACAGAGGTTGCACTCCCCGAGACGCACAGCCTTCACCCTCCCGGCTGGGGCCTGGGGGGCCGGGGGCGGGGGAGGGGGGCTCCTCCTCACCTTAGAATGTCCCTGCAAGGACCCTGGGCCCAGCGACAATGCCGGCTACTTCATGTCTGTGACTTCGCCCCTTCGCTCCTCAGCCTTTCCCACAGCCTTGGCCACGAGATGTGACATACTCACAGGCTGGACACGGGGGCAAAGGCCATGGGAGGACCGACCGGTGAGGAGTTGAGTGTTGGGAAGGAGAAAGGGGGCATCAAGGAGGACCCGGGGCAATGCACGCCCCACCCCTAGCCTGCAGATGGCTTTCTCCTTGGACCCTGTGCAGGCCTCGTCTCCGGCCAGCCGTCTCCAGAGAGCACTGGCCCTTGTCCACGCTCAGGGTACTGCAGCCTGGCCTATGGCCAAGGCCTGCCGCTAGGGGGCAGAGCAGTCCACACCAAAAGTCACATAACGCGTGCGTGTGTGCATGCGTGTACACACTTCGGGGTGCTGCCCTCAGCTCTGGTTTGAAGAGCCTGGAGCGGATCCGCCACCATGCCAGACGCACCCCTGCTGGGGCAACTCCAGGGATCCCCACCCCCCCGCAGCCCCTGCTCTAGAAACAACAGAAAGAGGTCATGCCATGAGGGGGAGCCTGCAGGGGTGCCAGCCCCAACGCAGTCACCCCAAAGCACTCATCTTCCCCTGTTCCACCCAAGAAGAGACCCACCGACACCAGCTAGTGAGCCTCGCGCAAGGACAGAGGGCTTGACGGCTGGGCCAGCCTCTGGAGGAAGCCAGCCGGCAGGTCACGTATGTACCCACACCCTCAAACTCAGGCCCGACACCCTCACCACCAGCTCCCCAGAATTGACATTCACAGCAAAATACAGAACTAGTGAATACCTGGGCTCAGGTCCCAGAAATAGGCTGCCCTTTCTCAGGGGTGACGGGAAGGTGCCCCTGCCGCCTGTTGCCTGGTTCCCGCTCGGCTCCTAGGCAGCGCCATGGAAGCCTCTTCCCGAAAAGGGCTGTGGTGTCGGCTGGGAGTGCGGCTGGTGGCAGCCAACAGAGAGGTTGGGAAACCTGCTCCCGCCACCCTCTCGGCAGAGTAAATGTCAGGACATTACGCGCTCCCGGAGCTCCCAGGCCGGCACGCTCAGCAGAAGGCCCTGCTGGGTGGGGCACTGGGCATGAGGTTGGGGGT